GTATGAAAAAAAGTAACTGACAAATCATTATTGCTCGACTCTTAACCAGTCAGTTTTTACCCGCCCTTAGCTGTTAATATTTCCTTTGCATTATAATCTACAAAACTTGCTTCTGTTTTTCCGCACTTTGAGGCCGTGAATGAGCTATAAGAGTGACGATCAAATCTCACTATTCGATCAGGCAAGAGTACCCTAAGAGTTGGCGGTGGAACGGCTATGCGCAAATAGTTCTTTTGTAGCTTTGCGAGAAATGCTGAAAGAAAAACAAACAAACAAATCTATTTTTCTTCCGCGAATATTTGACGTCATATTGTGAATATATATATGCTTGAAGTATACGGTAGACTGTCTAAACTTTATTGTAACGTGAGTTTAGTATTTACCTTCTACAGATAAATTGTTAGTCTCGAGGATTTGTTTGTTTGTTTGTAGTTAAGCATAAAGCTACACATTGGGTTGTCTGTGCTCTGCCCAACACGGGTATCGAAACCCGGTTTGTAGCGTCGTAAGTCCGCAGACATGCTGCTGTGCCACTGGGGGGCAGTCTCGAGAAGGTACAACAGCTTTAGCCTAGAAAACATATGCATTAAACAGTGCCGGATTAAGGCATAAGCTAACTAATTTATAGCTTACGGCCTCAAAATATATGGAACCTCTTGTCCGCCGCTAAAAAAGAAAAAGCTGAATCCATTTCAATATTTTTATCGTTTTGGGTGGGTTTTTTTCATAGCAAAGCTATATTGGATTATCTGCTGTGTCCATCGAATTGGAATCGAACTCCTGACTTTAACGATTAAATGTTTAGTCTTACCACTGTTCCACTGGGGGACTTTTTATCGTATTGGGGCCTCTTAAGCTTTACGTAGCTTAGGGCCTCAGAATGTCATAATCCGGCACTGGCATCAAAATAGATATTGGTTGAAATTATGTCATCCTAAGGATGTGGACCAACTACACGGTTTAAAATATAACTTTCATTTAACAAAAGTATCGTGCCTATCCTACATAGTAGAAACAAGTACAATATGTTTCATTGTTTATATATATATATATATATATGTGTGTGTGTGTGTGTATGTATGTATGTATGTGTAAATCGGACGATATGTTAGTGTGCGTGGGTTTATGTATTAGACATAAATTTTGTTTGGAACCTACATAATTTTTTCTTTGCCACCACTATGTATGTATTTTCATTTTTATTTTGTTTTATGTTTGATACTATTACCGCTAGGTAAAGTTTCCTATCACGTGAAATTGTCATCGTTTATGTATTCTATAATTTCCGTTAGTTTAAACCATCTTTTTTAACGTTAAGTCGTACCTGGAGTAGGCTTATGGCCAAAACGTTGTATGGTAAATTAATTCATGATAAGAGTGTTGAAAGCAATTAAAGTGTTTCCTTCTTTTCTCTCATCAAATCATGGTTACCAACCTTTCTTTGGTAAGCATGTATGAAGCACTTAAAATTTATTCAAATAAAAACAAGAACAGATCTTTAGTTTAGACTTAGATAATTACATTTCGTATTCGGTGCATCATTATAGTTATACTTATAACGAGAGTTACTTATTTAAGTGTTTTTGTTACGTATCTGCTTGTTTGATAATTACCGGTAGAAATTCTTTCCGAGGAACTTCAGTGATACAAGTCCTTTCTTGATTAAACCAGTTTATTCTTTCTCGATACAACTTTTAATAATACACAGAATTTCCACAGTCACTTTAAACTTAACAACCTTTATAACACATGCTATAACTCACAGTGATTTACACACACTTTGCTTACGGTGTCTGCTGTTCGCTTGACTCAATTATGTATCTCCGCTTGACTCAATTATTTATCTATCTCCAATCCCGCTGGGTTTTCTCGCTAGGCCTATATACTAAAAAGAGGGCGTCTCGATCAGACTAGAGTTGGCGGGCAAATTCATGATCCTTCGAGAAACTCCAGCGCGCATGCTCCCAGGGTCACGTGACTTCCGCTGTCGTAACATTATATTACGGGTCACGTCTTTTTTCTGAGAGATAATATTAAAATATTAGTACTGGTAATTCAAACTTTGATAACTTTTTTCAACATCTAAGTATTTTTATTTAAATGTTTCTTTTCTTTTCTATTTAATATTTTTTCCACTAGGAGAAATCTGCAATCACATTAAATCATTGTTATTTGTCTGTTTTATTAAATAAAACCGAAACTACAGTTATGTCTGAAATAGACCTATGGCTGGAATGTTGTACAGTAAATTCATTTATGATAAGAGTGTTGAAAGCAGTTCGGTTTATTCGTTTTTATTTTCTCTCATCAAATAAACAAAAATGTATATGATGTTTGTTTGTAAAAGTTTATGAAATCTTTAGGAAAAGAAAAATGTTATTAAAACTGCTAATGAATTATTATTAATATTTTCAGATTTATGCACCTGAACATATATCTGTATTAAGCTTTACAACTAAAACTAACTGGCATGTCTTTAAATATGATGCACTTAATTACATGAGTAAGATTTAAGAAACTACAAATTTATATATATGTTGAGCTTAGTCAATCAATCTTTAAAAGAACAATGTTCCAAGTCCTATGGTACTATTACGTCTCTGTGTTCGTTAGTTAATTTCCCGTATAATTTCTTTCGGATGAAACTTTAGCGATACAAATCCTTTCTTAAATAAAACTAGTTTATTCTTTCTCAATTCAACTTTGTAATACACTTAATTTCCACAGTCACTTTAAATAAACGCTATAATTCACATTGATTCACGCACTTACTTACGGTCACTAATACTGGAAGTATTCTTCGTACACTGGCTCCTCATATGTCCTTGCTC